TATGTATATCTAAGAAAGGAGAAAACAAATTATGGATTGTCTATTTAATAAGACTGATAAAATATTGTGATATAGAAGAGTATGAATCATATAAGGAAATGTTAATTATATAATATTAAGTAAGAAACACATTATAAGCAGATCAAGAAACTGGATATGTTTTATGACCCCAATTTTATTTTTAATCCTGTTCTAAGGCTTTGCATTTATATATAAAGCTGTCAGGAATCCACAGAATAGCACCAGGGATCATTTATTCATGGAAGATCATAAAGGATTTTTTCTTCTTCATAGTCTATATATTTTATTCATTCCTAATGAATATGATTTTCATAAAAAATACAGTAACTTTTTTGAAAGCATGTCAATGTTGTACTAAGACATCAACGTAACCATAAAATAAAAATTAGTCTAATTGAGTGTTTAGCTCATCCAGGGCTTGCCTTACCAGGTATGTGCACATCTAGACCCCACTGGGCCACAGGGCCTGGTCCTGTCTTTAACTAGATAGCTACCCATTGGTGAGGGTGGAGGCACTAGTTCACTTGAGCTTCTCAAAGTGGGATTCTCACCTCCTGGGATTCAGGCCATGTGCTGGGGGCACAGAGGACCACAGAACCAGACTCTAGCTATAACTTCACCTTACTTGAAAGTAGGCAACTTGTCACATTATTTTCCTATGAAGAACAAAAATCAAAATGTGTTTGAACATTTAAGAAGTTTTGAGTTTCTGAGAAGCTGCTTTGGGTGACATCAGCAAGTTTGGACTTATTGCCCTTGGCTATGACGTTAAAGCAAGCAGAACTTTTCTACCTAGACACTGTCGACATTTTAGGCAGGATAATTCTTTATTGTGGGGTAGGGCTGCTGTCCTGTGCATTGGAAAGTTTCAGTAGCAACCCTGGCCCCTACGCACTAGATTCCGTTAGCGTACATATGCCCACGCGTGTGCACACACACACACACACACACCAAAATATCTCCAACAGGGGGCTGGGTTTGTGGTTCAGTGTTAAAGTGCTTTCTCAGCATGTGTGAAGCCCTGGGTTTGATTCTCAGCACTGCATATAAATAAATGAATAAAATTTTTAAAATATTATGCATTTTTAGTTGTTGATACATAATATATATATAAACATTATATATTATGTGTGTGTGTATATATATATATATATCCAACAGTGCCCCCTGGACCAAAAGTTGCCCTGTTTAAGAACCATAGTGGCTAAATACCATATTTAATAGTGTCAGGTAAACAGGCACTAGGCCCTGGGTCCAACCACCAGAATCATGAGAAGAAGAAAAAATGGTGCCTAAGTGAAAAGTTTTCATGGTGTAAGCTTTTGAGAAATACTAATCCACATTCTAAAAGTCTGATTTAAAAACAGAGCTGCAGAATATTTAATTTCATCAAAATGCACTTGCCTTCTTGGGAAAAAAAAGAAAAGAAAGTGGAAGAGAGTAAAAGGGAAGACAGTTCCAATAAGAACAGCACAGCCAGGTCGGCCTGCCATTCCATTCCCTGACAACCACAGAGAGCCCCACCTTCGGCAGCCCCCAGCTCCCTCCATGGGGCAGGCTCAAGCCAGCCACCTCCTTTCCTCCTTCCAGTTCTTAAAGGGTTCCTATCTCAGTAGCTTGGGAAGCTGAGGCAGGAGGATCACGGGTTTGAAGCCAGCCTCAGCAACTTAGTGAGACTATAAGCAATCTAGCAAGACCATCAAAATAAAAAATAAAAGGGCTGGGGATGTGGTTCAGCATTTAAGCACCACTGGGTTAAATCCCTGGGAAGGAAGGAAGGAAGGAAGGAAGGAAGGAAGGAAGGAAGGAAGGAAGGA